GCCTTCGACAGCTACTGAATGTCTTGAATTGCTTCTCGCACATGCCGATACTATTCCCTCTCCTGAAGGAGGTGAAGCAGTGGGCGGCATTCTGAAATCTAGTAGAGGCGGGAGGGAATATCTGGCCGACCTACTAGAGAGAGATGCTGTTTGGGTGTTGAATAAATTTATGGGGCTCGGGGGAGCTGCCGTAGATGGGCTCGTAGTGGTGCTGCTAGACCCTGCGGCTTGGAAGGTGGTAGAAAAAAAGAAGAAGTGCTTGAGAGAGTGTTTTAAAGCCTTCCTCGAGAACTTGAAGCTTCGAGAGAAGGATAAACAATTAGCAACTGTAAGATCAGTTGCAAGGTTACTCGCAGCACATGCAGACGAGCTGCATTCTTTCGTAGGGCAAGAAGGATTAGAGAGATTGCTGGAGATGTTGGATATAAATTCAGCAGAGGATTTGCGATCTCACGCTACACTAGCAACAGCAAAGTTTGTGGAGGCCGATGAAGCGGTCGCGGCGAGTATGCTGGGGAGGTTTATGCTTTCTCGGTTAACTGAAGACTCAGACGACGACCTCCGGATTGCGTTTTCGGCTGCGGCTGCGATATTTCCGCTTGTGCCAACAGTAGCAGCACAGTTGTTCATGACCGATGGATTTGTCGAAGGGGTTGTTCCGAGCCTGCAAGGTCGCCCGGGGGATGTTGAAAAAGCGGCGCTGGAAATGATGAATGCGGCATGTGTGGATAAGAACTGCAGGGCTGCTGTCGCTGGGCAATGTGAGGGCTACTTGGAGGCGGTGTCAAAAAGTACAGAGGGTATAGGGAAAGCCATCGCTTCCACAATTCTTGCAAAAGTACGATTTGGCGTCGGAGAGCCAGGGACTTTGCCAAAAGGGATTGATGAATTGGCAGCGGTGTTCAAAAATATGATACTGCAAGAGGACGCCGACTCACGACATTCATCGGTAGAAGGCCTAGCATATGCCACACTCAAAGCATCAGTCAAACAATCTCTCTGCAAGGATAAAGTATTCGTCAAGAATCTTCTAGAAACAATAAAGGACACTTCCAGCAAACCAACAGTAATGTTCGGCGGTTTAACTGTCATAAATAATCTTACATCATACCTCCCTCCATTGTCAGAAGAGCAGAAGAAAGTCGCCCAGCTCAAGAATTATGCGAACGCTACCCCCAAAGCCAAGACAGAGCCTGATGTAGGCGACAAGGACCCTGCTGTAACAGAGCGCTGTAAAATACTTCTTGAAGCCGGTGTTGTTCTGGTTCTTATTGCGTGCTCCCGAAAAATTTCGCAGAATGCTATTGCAATTGTTACCAACATTCTTTTATCACTCAGTCAACACCAGAAACATCGTGGTCTTATTGCACAGCAAGGAGGGGTCAAGCTTCTACTCCAATTCTATCCAGCGGTAACAGGAGATACGTCTCAAGATAGGCAGATAAAACAGACATGCTCGCACGCAGTTGCGCGAGTTCTAGTCTCCACAAATCCGTCACATGTATTCTCATCGCAACTTCCAGTGGCATCAGCTGTGCGTCCGCTCCTGGCACTGCTAGATAACTCAGATGATCAACCCACCCTTCTTCCGGTCTTTGAAGCACTTCTTGCACTTACAAACCTCGCTTCAACTGATGATTCCACTCGCGATCTTATCATCCGTGTTGGCTGGCAGAAAATCGAAGAGACCATGCTCTCATCAAATGCAATGGTTCAGCGTGCCACTGTTGAATTGGTTTGTAACCTCATGGCATCCCCAGCCGGAGTTGAAAAGTTTGCAGACGGATCCAAGAGTGCTGGTAATAGGCTTCATATCCTCCTAGCCCTAGCAGACTCGGAAGATCTAGCAACTAGACGAGCAGCAGGAGGTGCATCACCTCGCCGAGGTGAGTTTTTGCAACCTTGTTAAAAATATTCGCCTACATAGTATGTTTCCCGGTTTTTTGGGATAAGGCGTTGAAGCATTATAATAGGGAGAGAGGGTTTTTTTGTGGATATAAGTTTTTTTTAGCAAGGACAAAAACAAATGAAAGCAGTGATGCAACATAAGAAGCAGATGGGGGTCATCGGTATTACGCGTGCGTTCTGAGTTCATTGATGAGAGGAGCTTTCCGTTTCAAGTGGTGGAAGAGGGGCAAATGACGGAGGCGTTTGAACCGCATGGTTTGGGGAGAAGAGGATTAAGACGGCGTGCTTTATGTAAAGGATAAGCTCCCCCCTTTGTATAGCTCCATTACAGAGCATACTATATATATATCTTTTGCGACATATAGACTATGCTAGAGGATATCGTTATTTTCAGAGGCTGTATGCGTCAACGAGCAGAGAATATCTAGGTTGACTATAGGTTTTCGATTTTATTGCTCATAAGGCAGCTATCCGCGTCGCCAAAGGTATTTATTTGTGTACTTTCCACGCTTTTGCCAAACTCCGTTATCGATCCTCTTGATATCCCTCCACAAAGGTCGCCTCTCGCTTATATAGAGAACATAGAGCCATGGGCTTAAGAAAAATAATAACAGGCCTTATCTAAGAAACCACTTTATCAGCGTCTCCATAGTTCTTACTCTCTCTCACGTATTAAGGTCAGTTGTGAGGGTTTCGCGACTTGAGTTGACTATAGTACCGATCGTGGCAGAATACTCTCTTGAGTTCATAGACCAGGCTGTCGTTCCCGAATTGGGAAGCCAACAATCTCATATACTTTAGCTCCAATCCAACTATAGGCAGTATAAATCGATAGGTCCCTCCTATGTTTGAGTGCCTGAAGTTAGTGACGAATGCTATCTACAGGGGATACCGGGGTCGATTTAGCTCTCCCCGTAGACGTCTCTCTCAGATAAGCTCGCGCTGCAACGAATTGTGTGCTCTCCATGATATATACGCTTATGGTTTTGTTCGCCTACGCTGCGTAGTATAGTGAGCGGCTTATATAGTATCACTCAATACTACTTATCTTTGATGACCTTCATCCTAACACGATGGACTCGCAATCTAATCACGTGAAGAATGAGCTGGGCGCGCTATTGCATACACCAAAAACTGAAATTAGTCACTCGTGAGTGATCGCTTGAGTTTATGGTGACTAACCGGGACTTTAATAGAGCACATAGTGTGATACTCTCGGAACTCCACTAAAACCTACCAGCGATGTACCTCAAACAAGTCGAACTAAGTGTACTCGGGAGAAGATGATAATGGCAGAGCTCCGGATGCCACTCCATTAACAACACAGTTAAATTAATTCGCGTCGTGCTTAATTAACATGTCTCATATGTCCTTCTGCCGCATTGAGTGAGGTCACGCAGTATTTGCGTGAGTGATGCAGCGTTACTTCAAGGAGCGGCTGGTTTCTCTGTATTTTTGGAGAGAAGTAAGTGAGGATGGACAAATTGAATGTAATTTGTTGTGTTTGGAGGGGAGGTAAACGGCTACATATAGGAGAGATCCACCACTTTGGGCTGTGGATGCATAAAATATTGTTAAATTAGCGTACTTCGAACCTATATGAACATTTCCTCCTCGTTAGTTTTCTCTATTTTCAATATTCAGCTCAACCTACTAACTTACTCGTCTAACTACTCTCAGTCATCCACCCTTGAGCTACCTCGACTATGCCCGCAACGAGCTCTTCATACTTATCTTCCCCCGCTTCCTTCACCTCCGGTGACCCCTGACGGCGTTGCCTATTCTGGTGGTAGTTCATTGTCATTCAGGCATTGGCACACTGTTTCTGTAAGCGGCTAATTTGTGCGCAATCTAGCCGACCTTCTCACTGCCTCCGCCGCATCTCGAACTCCCTGTTCCTACCCCCTTGTCCATAGTCTCCTCCAACACCAGACGTACGGTAAGCTGAACTTCACAGCAAGACCCTCCCCTTTTATCCGCCTCACACTCCTCCTCTCCCTCACCCCAGCATCTACCACCTTCCCTGCTTAACATTCCACCCTCGCATCTCGTGACTTATTGCAGCAACCAAGAGACGAGTCAGGATACTCCAGCTCGGGCCGAGACTGCAATTCTCATCCTCGATCAACCTCATTTTCACTAACGTCGTCAGAACGAACGCCTGACCTTCTGCCGCGATGCGCTTGACACCGTAGCCACCAACTGTGCGTGAGTGTTCGAATACGTGTTTTCCTTCGCTCCTAATTGTGTTTTTGTGTTGTGCGTAGAGGTAAGTTGGTGTAAAATATACGGTTGTAGAATTAGATTGGCAGTCTATTGGCATGGACGGTGGATGCGGCTGCACGCGGGAGGTGGTCGTACTTAACAAATCCAGGGAGCTGTGGAATTGTGTAGTATGCTGGAGGAAGGTTGTGGAGTGAAGGCGTGTGTGTAATATATGAGGGTTTCATCTTGGAGGAATTAGTTGTAATTTGATTCCTTCGTGTGTGAAATGGTGTGTGAGGATGGGAGGGGATGGAGGGAGGGAGTAATGGTCCCTTTCATCAAAAATTCAATGGAATGAGGGTGCAAGATGTTCACCGGATAAAGGGTTCAGTGTTGGAGTGTTGTTATGGGGGGCGAAGGTTTGTAAAGCTTTCTCTTCTATGATTGGCTTATAAATCATCAGTACTTTGGGACCGTGATCTTGCAAAGACCTGAGCGAGGACTCAAAGCTTCATTATATATTCTACAGTTGTGATATGTCTACGATCTGAGCTAAGCACCTTCTTCGTTATCTAGATATACTATAAATCGCGTTGTATGATATAATTTGGACTATCTTTATATACGTCCATCTAAGCAATGCGCGCTCCCTCTGCGGGAATAGGTACAGAACAAGTACCCCCCTGCCTTCCCACGCACAACTCCCAGGCATTTAGAAAAGTTGGATCCGGTATTCCGAAAGCGGTGATCTGTGCTGGTTTAATCAAGTATCTTCACAGGATCCTTAATTGAATCGTGGCCTTAGATTATAAACCCCCACCATTATATTAACCTTCAATTTGCCGGAGCATTTGACCCATCCTTAATTCACGCATCGAACGCTTCCTCTATCTTGCGTCCCATGTCATAGGCTTTAGCCGTGCCGTTAGTCGACTCCCCGTCGCGTGACCATTCTTCAGCTCCACATCTGCCTCCACTCCGACCCCCGCCTCCATCCCCGCCTCCACCGCCACCTTGACCTCTCCCTCTACCTCCACATCCACCCTCGCCTCTACTTCGACCTTTCCCTCTACCTCGACCTCCACTTCCACCTCCGCCTCCATTTCCACGCACCCCCTCTCCCCCATCGAACCCTTCCACCTCACAACGACCTTCCACCCTCACTCCGTCACGCACCCATCGCCCACGCACCCTCCCTCCCTAAGCCACCCCTCCACCCCACAACACTCTCAAGCCGGCACCTGGACCGACACTCGACCTATCGGCTCCGGCGGATTCGGCGTCGTCACTCTGCAAACCTGCAGCGACCGCGGGGGCCAGCTCCGCGCCGTGAAAAAACTCCCGCTGGGGATGCGCGGCATAGACTATCATCGCGAGCTGAGGTCGTTGGCGACGTTATCTGATGTATTTACAAAGTCCTTTTTTTTTCTTTCAACTTTTTCTTTTTCTTTCTCTTTTTCTTTGTGAAGAACGAGATCGAGACTAATGCGGGAAGGGGGGCGGGGGTACATAGAGAGCGGACATATTCATAAACTTCCTCGGCTGGTACAGCAATACGGATTTTGTTTATATAGCGATGGAGTACCTGCACCACGGCGACCTAGCAGAGTACATCCAGACAAATCCCGTCGGGGCACATACCAACGCCCGCGCACTAACCATGCAGTTGCTGCGCGGGCTCGATATCCTGCACAAGCGCAAGATCTGCCATCGGGACCTTAAGCCACCCGTACATATCCCCTCTCCCCACCTTCTATCCCCCTTTCCACATCTCTCACACCTACTAACCACCCCCTCTGTCTGTGTGTGGATCCGGATATGACAGAATGTGCTCCTCGTCACCCTTGACCCCATCCGCGTCAAAATCACCGACTTTGGCATCTCCAAGCAAATGGCCGGCACCCAGCTCCGCACGCGCTGCGGGACATCGGGGTATGTCGCGCCAGAGATCATGGGATTTATCCCGCGCCCGGGCGGGGACTACACGGATGCGGTGGATATGTGGGCGCTTGGCACGATACTGCACGAGTTGTTTGTTGGCGTGATTCCTTTTGCTGAGCAGGAGGAGGAGGAGGAGGAGGAGGAGGAGGAGGAGTACGAGACGATGGTGAGTGAGAGTGCGGTGCATGTGATGCAGGTGGATAGTTATATGCTGCATAGATATTGCAGTGGGTTGATACCGTTCCCGGAGGAGCTGTTGGTGCAGAGGGGGGTGGGGAGTGAGGCGAGGGAGCTGGTGAGGGGGTTGTTGGCGCCGCAGCCAGAAAGGAGGTGGGGGGTGGAGAGAGCGCTGGCGAGTATGTGGTTGGTGGGGGGTCTGGGTCGGGGTAGGGCTAGGGGTAGGGGTAGGGGTAGGGTGAAGGGTGGGTGGAGGAGAGGGTGGGGGAGGAGCTGTAAGGCAGGTTGGACAGTCGGGCTGGGCAGATGTGGTGCTTGATTTGTGAACTGGCTCGTGGATTGCGAGGCAGGTTGCGCGTTAGCATAACTTGCTGGCCGTGTAGATGTCGGGGGTATGTGTTGGTAGGAGTTTCTGGCCTGGAACGTCCTTCTAGAGAATGTACCTAGCTACTTAGTCCTATCTACATTCTCATAGAATCCTATATATCCCGTGCATATATATGGATAGCCCTAAGAAGAAATAACCAACTCCTCTCCTCCAGCAAAGCTCGAGACACAAATACAATAGTACAGCGACGGTGAGGTTTTGATGCTCACTGAATTCAAGAAGGCGAAATGGGCAGAGACAGAAAGGCCGAGCAGTATATTTGCCTTTTGCGGTGGTGTCGTCGCTTGGGTTGATCTGTTTCTTTTTTCTTTCTTGTAACAATCTGCTCGGTGGAAGAGTTAGCGGCCGGTTTTCGGCAAGTGCCTGGTGAAGGGTTCACGTGTTGGGGGGAGCTTGGTGTATACATGTATACATGTAGATATGTATCTACACGTATCTCTATTACTTTAGGATGACAGAAAGGGCTTCTAACATCATGACACCTCTATAATACTCCTACTAACTACATACATCTACTGGATACATATACTTCATCACAACTTCGCTCCTCCCTATAGCTACATACTTGTATTTACATGTATCTACAATCCCTACATGTATGTATATACGGCCCACTACCCCTAACCCACTCCACGCCACGCACCTGCATATGCGTCTCGGGTCCGGCCCGGCCCGGGCGCAACCAAGGAAAAGCGGGGAAAGCTTTGTTGAACGTCGCAGCTTGCCAAAGTACTTATGAGGCAGCGGTGATGTAATATATATTGCTGACTTTTTTCTGGCAAAGCTACCGTAAAAACTCGATAGGTGAGCCCGGCCTCATCTATTGAATCCGAGCTCTCTGATTGGTTGCTTTACGTTTCTCTGCTGTTATTCACCTTATATTTTGGGTTTAGGCCCGGGCCCACCTATCGAGTCTTTACGCCGGTACCCACCTGGATATATTGGGATGTTATGGTTAGCCATTGGATTTGGGTTAAGGTTGTCATGGCGGAAGGATAGACGTTTCCATCATGTCACTCACCCGAGCACCCCCCTCACCACCACCACAGCTGATGATGGGGAGCATCCGGGTAAGTATACAGTGGAAACGTCTATCAGTTATGATTATTATTGTGAACTGTGGATAATGGAATGGGGAAACGCCCCCCCCCTTTTCTCTCTCGTTTTTTCGCATAGAGTGAATGCTACAAAGTGCACTCTCTGCCAGTGCATTTTGCTGCGTAAATCGTTAAGGTTACGGTTAGTTACATTGGTGTCATCCGGAAATTTGGTACACCGTTCCAGCAAGGGGCGAGCTGAGCGGCGAAGGAGGTATTTATACTATATACCTTGCCGGGGATGTGGTTCTTGGGGCTCGTTTGAATAGAACCCAGATGAATCTAGAGAGTTGAACATATGGGATTTAGCTTGAGCATAGCTAGCTCTGGAAGGGCAGGTAAATTGTAGACCTTGCTGTAAAGTTGGGGCAAGTGGGTGGCGGATGGGAGAGGGGGTTGGTTTTTAGTACAACCAGGTGGATGGAGGGGAATGGTCGATATGGATATACATATGTCTGAGGGTTCGAATAAGTCATAACGAGTCTACAAATGTTGGAGGTCGTGCAGTTGCAGTGTCAAGAGGAACCGAGCCAGGCCTAAGTACGACTAGAAGAATTAATGCCCATTTCGCTTAAATAACCGGAAACTAGCCTCGCAAACAAGCCTACTACAACCAAATTTTGAAAGTACCGCCCTTGACCGCGTATTAAACTCCCAGACAATACAACTACAGAGAATCATAAAACACAAATTCCTTGTCTTGTTCCTCTTATGTTTATGACGTAAAGCGACGTTGAAGTTGCATTCCCATACAAATTTTGGTTGCAACTTGCAAAACAAATTTCCAGTTATTTTTAACGAACATAGTGTAACTGTTACAGGAGCTACGGAACGCTGTCCTAGAGGCGTAGGACAGTGAGGAATATGAGTGACGGGTTGTGATACGAGGACGGTCGGGTAACGAAAGGACAAGCATAGAAAGGTATCGGGTAGTGTGGGGGCACGCGGTGTTACCACACTAGTATTATACTATTATGACGGCACGCTTACTATTGGGTGTCTCACCCGAAATAGAATAGGAAGCGGGGCTTACGGCTGTAGGCTGTTCTACTTAGGGAAGTAGGTCTAGGATAATAGTATGGTACAGCCCGGTGACTGGCAATTGCAAGGTTCATGGTTACGTATCGGAATTAGAATGGAGGACGGAACTATGCGGGGGCGCTTTTCTATCTGGGTTATCTTCGGGAGCATCATCTTATTCTATTATCGTTGTATCAGTTAGTATTAGAAAGCGGGCCTTGGCATAGGTTCCAACATGTATAAATAGGTTCCAACATGTATAAATAGGGCAGGATTCTCCGAAGACTTGGGGGTATCATCAGCCATCAAGTCAAGGGAATCCGGTTTACAATATCATCAGTTAAACGCTACAGAATTATTGCTTAGCACTGGCCATTTCCCCAAACACTATATTGTACCTTATCCCTAACTTTTACTCTTTACCTATCACATAAACCACCAAAGTCTCGATAAGACAACTACTCGCTTAAACCAATACTCTGAGTATTTTGCTTAGTGGCGGATAGTCACCGTGCTCTCAGTAGAAGAATAAGCGCTTAGTCTATTAGAAAGATCAAGGTACTATATGCACCCCCGAGTGGCAACAGCAGCCATCAACAACTACCTTTGCGCTACATCCTTCATCGTACGAAGAGGAAGCGCCGAACATCTATACTGCGGGTACCTCCATTATACAGGTTTCTTTACAGAAGCAGGAACCACCGCTACCTTCGAGGAACACGACCCCGAAATCCTCAACTACCCAGAACTCTTCCCAATCAAGATCACTCTCTCGCAGCGGTCTTTCGGACTTGCCCACCCAGCCCCCTGGTTCATTGCTCAACCTTGGTGCAGAAGACAACCACAGCTCAAACTCGAGCAGCTTAGCAATGTCAAGGGCTCATCAGCAACGGTCGGAGGAAGACTACAACCTGGAGAGCTCAATCGCCTTGAGAGATCGAGGTATATTGGAAACCCAGGCCAAGAGGCGCCACAGGAAAGAGAGAGATGTGCCGATAGGCTCCCTCTTCGCATTGACGAGGCAGGAAGAATCATATGGGCAAGCGAGGAGGCGGCAGGTAGACCACAGGGAGTTCTCTCCCTACGTCACCCCCATCAGAGAGAGATCCTCTACTCAGAGGCCTTCGGTACCTCAGGTAATGGACGACGACGAGGATACCAACATGGACATAGAGGAGCGACGAGTGGAGAATCCTTTTGGCGATCTCATCGGGCAAGAAGTCCAGCGACAAGGGGCTCCAGTAGTGCAGCAACTCAGCCGCGGGATCGAGGAACTCAGCATGCACGTGCGAGATATTCCCATACTCCGGGAACTCACCTGTCAGCAGCAGGAGTACACCAACAAGATCGTCGAGGACCTCCACGCCAAATTCGCTGGGGACAGAGCCGAGCGAGATAACCAGCTCAACCAGGTCATGGCTCAGCTACGAGCGGAATCCACCGCCGCTACCAGCAACCTCGGTCAAGTCCTTGGGCAGATCGTCGAAGCCACTAGGGCACATCAGGAGAGGCAGGAACGGCAGGATCAGCACATAAACGCACTGACCAACTTTGTCCAGCAACTCCCAAAAGAAGGCCAAGTCCAGCTACCCGCGGAGGTCACGGCTGCCCTGGAAAGAATGGAGCGTGACAGACAGGCCGCAATGGAAGACCAGTTCGCAGGTACGAAGAAAAACCTGGAAGAGATAATCGAGCAAATGCGGGCAGCAGCCAATAGAACGGCCGCAGCCCCCGAAGGCTCAGGAGGCGGAGGCGTAATACCCCCCCAACCTCCACAGAACCCCCCTAGCAATGCCGGAGAGAGACCGGAAGGATCAGGAAGCCAACCCCCCATGCCCCCTCGCTCCGACACAAGGGGAAGTCAGCAAAGTGAGCAGGGAGGCAGGGGAGGCAATGGCAATAATGGCAATGGCGGAAACCGCGCAAGACCTCGAGACCCATCCCCCTCCGACTCATCTAGCTCCTCCGATTCAGAGGACGATCGTCGAGCACGTGAACAAAGGCGGAGAAAACGGGAGGAGCGAAGGCGCCGTAACAGGCAGCAAGAGGTAGACCTCGTGCACCCGCCTCGCGCCACGACACGCCAAAACAGGCAAAGATCCCTTCTCCGGAAAGGCCGACGAAGATGTGCGACACTGGATCGATCAAATGGAAGTCTTAATTGAACTTCAAAGGAAAGTCCGGTGGGATGATCAGACCAAAATCCTGTGGGCATCACTGGAACTTACCGGGAGTGCGGCAAAATTTTGGCGAAACTTCGTGGAACGACTATCGGTGGACCCCAGCATCGGGACATAGGAAAATTTCAAAAACGAATTACGGATTCAATACGGTAATCGAACCAGTCAAGAGCAAGCCAAGCAGAAGATGGATAGGCTCCGTCAAACTGGCATGATCGATGACTACATCAATGAAATGCAGAATCTGGAATGGGACGCAAGGGTCGGACCCATCGTAATGAAGTCCATGATCCTCACAGGAATAAACTCCTCGCTGGAACAACGCCTCTCGAATGCAATCGAGGAACCAGAAGATTTCGCGGAATGGCTGGCATGGGTTAGGAAGGTTGGACGCAAGGATCACGAGGTGAAAGCACGAAAAGAAATTTTACGTGGCAAGGATGTCGTGAAACCCCGGGAGGAAAAATCGGAACGGCGAGAATCGCGCAACCCCGCACCTCGGAAAACTTTCTCCACGCCCGCGCACAACTCCAAGCCCTCGGATGACTTAGGTGTCAACAAGGACGAAAAGGAGAAATGGCAAAAGGAAGGAAAATGCTTCCGCTGTGGAAGAGATAACGATTTTGCAAAAGAT